GTTTATTAAGAACAAAATATATTTTCAAATTCAAAAAATACTAATAAATATATTTATAAATTACTCAAAAATAAAATTTTCATATTGATAATAAATTTTGATTTTATAATTTTATAAATTATGAATTAAATTCATATAAATTAATCTTTGTTAACAATAAAGATTAAATCTAAAGTAAGAGACCCCAAGAGGAAGGCCCGTGATTCAAGGAAGAAGAGTGGAGAGAGAGAGAGAAGAACCTTTGGGCGGCACAATCGATGACCACACCAACAAATTTAGATCCCATGTAATATCTTTAGTGCAGTGGATGGGAAGTGTGTGGATATCATTATATCATATATTCTATCTAAAAGTTAGAAAGAGATAGGTGCACAAAAAAACTTATCTTTTATAAAGTATGTAAATTTTTTTTCCTACTCTTTAAAACCTTTTTTTTTTAGTGGATTATTAATTTATTATGACCCAATATGTCTCAACCTTTTTTTTTTGGTTAAAATATAAAGTAAAAAAAAAGAAATTTTCATTTGTTCCTTTCTTTTTAATTTCTTTGTAAATCAACATGGTGTGAGAGAGAAGCCTAAAGTAGAGGTACTATTTTTGCAGAATTGTTGAAATAAATTGTTAAATTTTTTCACAGTCTTTTAGGATTTTAATTGTGAAGTAAGTTTTTATTGTTAAAATAAAAAGTGAAAACAATATTTCATTAGATAGAATCCATGCCCTGTATCGTTTGTGAAAAAAAACCCAAACTTTTTATTGTAGAAGGCGAAGAGGGTTGTGTTCTGATGCTACTTGTCTTACATGTCCTCCGTGATTGTATGTCTACGAAGGAGATTTGGTTGAGATGTGTGAGAACAGAATATCATGCACAGTTCTTTGAGATGGATTAAATGGAATATGACCAAAAGTGTGGGGAGAGAAAATACTGAGTGGCCTGAATGCTTCTCTATCATATGCTGGTTTATATGGAGAAGGAGAAATGAGTTTATTTTCCATAGCAAAGATACCGGAGGGGCAGAGAGGTTCTTATGGGTGAGATAGCAAGGAAGCTATTAACTTGTTGCTAGGGAGAGAGATTGATTTGCATGAATATTGGGCTGAAATTCTTGAGGCTTGAGAATTGATGCAAAGAGATTGAAGGATGACAATTCAACTCATTCCAAGAGCTATGAATGTTGATGCTGATCTGTGTGCTCGTTTTTTGAGCCAGGACTTCACCATCTTGGCCCAAACGACCTCAACTGTTTTCAGCTTTTTGAGCCACCTTAGGACGCTCTATTTTGCTAGTTTTGTTTCTTTTTGTTGTGTTTTCTTTTCCTTTGTTATATAAAAAAAATATTTTGTGCATATATCTCTTTCCAACTATTGGATATAACGCACGTTTAAGATCTTTTCACTTCTTATCCACTATATCAAATATATTGCATGGGATCCAAATCCCCACATTAATGCTTGGCTTGAGTTACAAAAGCATCAATGCCTTGTTTGGTATAATAAAAAAAATTAATTTTTAAAAAATTGAAAGTGAAAGTGGACATGAGAGTAGAAGTAAAATTAGGTTGGAATTAAGCTTAAAAAGTGTGTTTGGTATGTTAGAAAATTAGATGGAATTGAAGTGATTTTTTTAAATTAAAATTAGAATTAAAAGACACTTTTGCCCTTCATTAAAAAGCACAAAAAACAAAACCAAAAAATAAAAACAAAGGGGTCAAGAAACCCTCATTTGCGAACTCTCCTAGGGCTCTAAGCATCCGTGCTCTTTGATATTGCTCCTTCATGCTCTCTGACAGTCAATTGCTCCTTTGTGCTCCACTATCGCTCTTCGACAGTGATCGCTTCTCTACCATCCCTCTTCCATAGTGTAGTTGACGGAAATTTGATCGCGCAGGTTGGTTTTGTTTTTGATTTGGAGAAGGGGCATTGTTGTCAATAAAATTCATAACATGAGATATTGTTGTCCAAAAATTTTTGATTCTAGGGAACTCATCTTAGTTCCATGGGTACACTAATGAAACCTAATTCCATCAAATTTGATAGAAATGAATTTCAAGTAAAAGTAGGTTTTGTCATATCAAACAATTCAATTTTTAAATTTTATTTTTACTTTCACTTTTTTGGCTTCAAGTCCATCATACTAAATAGAGCATAATTGTATCTATTGTATGCTAATAACTATTCGCTAAATTTATTATTAAGCCTTATTATTTCTGAGTGACCTTTCATTAACATTCTTTCATGTATAAATTAAAGACTATTGACAAACCAACCAACCCAGCAGTTGATCAAACAAAATAATTCTATTAGTTATTATGAATGTTCTTTTGTATTTAATGAGAATTAAATATCAAAATGGAATTCAGTCAAAAATTGGATTTTATTAAGTCAAAATTGCATTATTAATAAGGAATATAGTAGGAGGACAAAAGAGAGAATACACCAAAGCTTGTTAAAACATGAAAGAGCTTTGAGTCACTTACAAGGTCCTGAATTTAAATCCTACTAATAATGGGAGGGAGGAGAAGAAAGGAGAAGGGAGGGGAGTCTCTTAATTTGGGAGGAGGCTTTGGAGGGAGGAAAATGTATCTCTACAATACATGATGTTGTGGCTATGCACCGCGGTCAATATATGCTTTAGTGGTGACATACTCGTGCTGTGTCATTCACTATGGCAAATGACTAGTTATCATTGTGGATGTGCATATTTTAGGATAAATTACATTTTTGCCTTAGTTTTGGCAAATTGTTTCTAGTTTTATTCTTGTACTTCTTTGTGTTATACAATGTGATTTTCAATCTTGGATTAAGCTCAATCAATGCTTTTGGAAAGGTTTTTTTAGTGGGATCCTGACTTTCACTTTTCTTTTCAATTACTTTCTATCTTTATTTTATTTAATTCAGTTTTTTCATTATTATGTGAAATCATAGGGTTAAGAGTTCCCTATTACCTATTGTGATTGTATGGTATGTTTTTATAATGTTAAGGTGAATATTACAGTAAGGTTTATTGATTTAGGCACATGGCACTTGTTAGCAATAGTCAACCAATCAAGTGAAGAATGAGTGCCACATGTTTGAACAAGTGAGCCCTACTACCATAAAGCAACAAATGTTTCCCTCTATTTAACATTGGGTAAAGGTTGTTGTAAATTCAAAAAGTTGAGAGAACAAATGCTTATATTAGAGATACATTTTCATTTGGCACTCATATCATATCAGATGACTACTCTTTTAATGAGTTAGATAATTTTAAATATAAATTAATTCTACCATTAATGATGAGTGGGAGAGAAAAGATAAGAAATTAAACGGGTATTTCATTTAAAAAATAATGCCATTAAAAATAATGACACATATATGTTTTTATTGGACTGAGCATGAGTGATGTGGGCGGGTTCATACAAGCATTTCTCTATTCAATATTGATGTTTTAAAATAAAATTAGGATAGAAAATAATAAAATTTTATGAAAAATAAAACAATATATGCATTAAAAATTAAATGTTTGCCAAATTTAATTTATTATTAATTGATATTGTGTTTAAATTGAATAACAAAAATGTTAAATATACAATCATACAAATAAACAATTTTTATGATGATTAATTCGATACAATTTAATTAAAAAAGACTAAGATGTATAGTTATGCTATAAATATATAGTACTTATTTCATTAAAAAATGTAAGGCATTTTTTAAAGAGTTGGCTCTTCAAAAATATAAGACGTTTTTAGTTTTTTGAGGTGTAATCATTATTTTTTTCTCTAAAAGTGTCCCTATTAATAATAAATTTATATTTATTATAGGATATTTAATAAGGGTAAATATGAAAAGATAGTGTTAGTTAGAAAGTAAATAATTGCTTTATTGGTGGATGAAATTCGATTAAAAATATCTTACATTTTTTAATGAAGGAGTAATTTTTATCAATGAAAAAGTTAATATTAAAAAATAATTAAATATAGTATATATATTTTTATTAAAATATAAAAATAAAAGAGATGCATGCCTATTGTATTCTGTACATGTGATATCTATGAGCACATTTGTATAAATAACAAGGATGTAGCATTACTTTGCAAGTATTTGTTGAACTTAAAGCCGGGAGTACATCTTTGTTTTGATGAGTCACAGAGATATTTAACTCACTTAAACTTTCTTTTCAAAAAAAAAAATTTCTCTATGGGAAAAAATTAATGTAGGTCTAGTAGATTAATATGAGCATTAATAATTATTAAAAATACAATTGGGCGAATGACAATCAAAGACATTAAATTTTGAAAATTTCAAAACAGTCGACTAAGATTAGCTCAAATTATAATTGCTCCAGCTTACTCCCTCTAATCTAAAATATAAGCATTTTATTTTAACTAATCTTAATCCCAAATATAAGCAACTTAATAATTGGAGAATTTTTTTTCCTATTCTATTTATTGTACTTATTTATTTAGATTCTTGTATTAAATTTATGATTTTCTTTTTACTAGTTATTGGTAATTACAGTTAAATATAAAAAATAATATAATTTTTTATGAAAATAAATATTTTCTTAATATGCGAATTATAATTAAAAATTACTTATGTTGTACATCGTATTTTTGTCATTACCAAATTTACAAATGTGCGCGTTGAAGCATTACGTCCTTTAATATGTCATGAAACAAAATACCCATGGCAACTAATAAGGCCCATGTTATGGAGGCCCAAGAACCCATGGGCCTACACCATAACAATAAGATTACCCCTTACACGATATCTGTCTCTTAATGTTATTACCGTTGGCCTGTAGCCTATGATTTTAATTTGTTTGACCTCCCACCTGTTTGCTAGTTTTTGGGTGGCTTTTGGGTCCTGTGTTGTTGTTTTTTATTTTTTGTATTGTTCGCGACTTGCTGTTGTGCCCTTTGTATTTGTTGTGATTAAACGTAGTTTCAGCTTTTATTAAAAAAAGAAAATTTTTAACGTTGTTAACACAAACGGAGAAACTAGAAAGAAACCGTGTTTTCGAACGTCTCAACCCTCCAACGGTCACAAAATTAGTAGCCGTTTAGTTCCTTAAAATCAAAATACCCAGTGTCATGTCGCAACTTACTGCAGTTCACTGTCAACCATAAGTGGTGATTTCTCATTCGAATAATCCGAATTCGGTTAAGCCCTCAAGCTTGTGATGTAAATTTTTCTTGTGTGTTTGAATCAACGTGGCTGGAAATTGAAGTTGTTCCTTGTGAGGAAGAAGAGGAGGAGCAGGAGGAGGAGGAAGAAGACGATAGGAGAAGGAAGTCAGAGACGAAATATTTATGCTCTTCCATTGCTTCGCAGCTTCTGATCCTACGAGTTATCGTTTTTCAGTAAGCTTCATATTCTTCTTGTCGTTTTCCCTTCTTATGGTCGCTGACCATACTGCTCTCTCTCTCTCTCTCTCTCTCTCTCTCTCTCTCTCTCATATTCCGAACGAGACTGTTGACTCAACTTAGGGATAAGTTTCCACAGGTAAATTTTTGAGTGGGTTTCTTATAAATGTGATTAGATGTGAGTTTATTGATCCAATGCCACCTTTAAAATTCTTTTCTTAAAGTCTCCTTCTTATTTCAGATAGAACTATTTTCTTGCAGGTCTTATGGGATTCATCCTGTGTAGATTCATTGCTATTTTCATTTTATAACGACTCTTCATCATCAATGATCCTGAAGGGCCTTCCTCAGGTTGACACGAGCTCTTTCATTGACTAAATAAAAATTTCTGTCACCTTTCGCTAGTGTATTAACATTTTGGGCAAGCATTTTCTCTTAAAGGCACTAACTTAAAGCATTCAACTCTAAAGGGACTGATTGACTTTCTCCCCTGTACAGCATGAATAAAAACTGTTCATTTAGGATTGAAATTTGCTTTCTTCTTTCTTTTTTAGTTACATGTCAAATGTAAATAGGATGAATTTTATAGAAAATTTATGTTGATATCTTTCATTATCTAATAAATTTGCCTGCATCTTACCGCTGATTGGTTACGCTTGTCTACACTTCTCTTTTCTTGACTTTTTGTGATAAGTATGATCCAGAAAGGCTGTTCCATTACTATCTAAATTTAATTCTTGAAATCAGTCCTACAATAGTATGTTGGTTTTTGTGGTGCTTAACATCTTTCCATTTAGATTGTTGCTACAAATCTCTTTCCATTTTAAATTTTTACTAGGAGCTCTTTTCAAAATTATTATCAGCCAATTCCTTATGGGGTTTTGTATTTTAATCTCCATTAATATGTTTCACTTCAGGAGCAAACTTAAAACTGTCAAAAGCCTTTAGTTTAGAAGCTCTCAGTACTGGTTGTGCAGTGAGTGCAACTATGATGGAAAAAATTATATCTGCAACCTGAGAATGATACTGTTGAGCAGATTATTGCTCATCGATTATGGCTTGGATTTCTTATGGATCGTTTTTTTTCACCATCACTTGTTATTGAAAGTTTATTCATGATTGACATGCTTTTTTTTTTTTTTATGGATTTTTATCTTCAGATCTCGAACAGCTTGTTCAAGGCTGGGGATGTTAGATAAGTATTTTTGAAGATATTAAAATAAGATTGTTTACTTTTTGCATTTCTTTTCAGTTCATTTGTGAATTCAAACAAAATTGCCAATTTTAAGCTCTGATATGAATTATGATTTTGAGCTTTAAATTGAGTAAGCTTTTTTTTTTTTTTAAAAATATGACTCCATCCTAAGTGGTAAAATGGGTATTCCATGCTGATCTTTGCCTGTATCTGTAGTTATGTGTTTCGCAGCAGTAAATTAATGCATTATTAATGCATTATTAATGCCATGCGTATACTCTGAAATTTTGTCTTTATATATATATATATAAAATATCATTAATATTAACTCTGCTGACCTTTCTGCACGTAATTATGTTAACACGAAGATGTTGATCTTCTTGCCAAGTTGGGGTTTTAATGCTTAAAGATTTTCAATATCTTGGTCCCGTATCTTCCCTGGTATGTTTTGCTGCCGATGAGAATTTTAATATATCAGTTATCTGCTTGGTTTGTTGTTAGACAAATTAAAAGAATTTCATTCCAATGACAGCTTGAAGGTTTTACGAGTTTCTTCACTGTTAAGAGGACAGAATACTTTCTTTCTGTTAAGAGCTTGAGAGTTTATTAAATGCTTGGTTGGATAGGCTTGTCTGCTGACATTATTATTTTCACTCATCATTGATTTTGTGAATTTGCTTCTTTGATTTGTGACTCTAATAAACCACTAAAACTAAAAGCATGCACCCACCAATTGAAACCCAGTTATTTATATAAAATTGAAAACTTTTGCATGTAAATGAAAGACATGATGGAAAATTAAAATGATCGTATCCAAAAAAATTATCAAATCTCCTGGCGTACCAAAAAAAAAAAAAACTAGCAAGTTTTCAAGTTTTAAAATGATTTTTTTTTTAAATTTTCATAAACCTATAAAGTATGAAAATAACAAGGTTATTATTTTAGGTAATGATCTCACTTGGGGGAACACATCCTTGTATAACAAGGGAGTCATGCTTTGGTGCCATCCTCAAGCCCCCAATCAATTAAATGGCCTATTAATTAGGAATATATTAAAGGGACTGACTGACTCTCTCCTTTACAGCATGAATAAAAACTGTTAATATGGGATTGAAATTTGCTTCTTTCTTTTTTAGTTGCATGTCAAATTTAAATAGGATGAATTTTTTAGAAAATTTTAGTTGATATCTTACCACTGATATCAAATTTAAATTTTAGCTTGCAGTTCTCTTTTCTTGACTTTTTGTGATAAGTATGATCCAGAAAGGCTATTCCATTACTATTTAAATTTAATTCTGAAACCAGTGCTACAATAGCATGTTGTTTTTTGTGGCACTTAACATCTATCCATTTAGATTGTTGCTACAAATTGCTTTCCATTTTAAATTTTTTACTAGGAGCTGTTTTCAAAATTATTATTAGTTAATTCCTAATGGGGTTTTGTATTTTAATCTCGATTAATATGTTTCACTTGAGGAGCAAACTTAAAACTGTCAGAAGCCTTTAGTTTAGAAGTTCTCATCTTCTTTGTCAACTCACCTTTTCTTGCACCATCACTTGTTATTGAAAGTTTATTCATGATCGGTGTGCTTTTTTATGGATTTTTATCTTCAAATCTGGAACAGCTTGTCCAAGGCAGAGAATATTAGATGATTATCTTTGATGATATTAAAATAATATTTTTTTTTTTACTTTTGTTGCATCCCTTTTCAATTCATTTGGGAATTCCAATGAAATTGCCAATTTTATGCTGTGATATGAATTATGATTTTGAGCCTTGAACTGAGTAAGCTTTTATTTAAAATATAACTCCATGTTCCTTTGTTGTTCATTCGCTAGTGTTGCCAAAACTTCTTTTTTCTTCGAGAATGGTACATATTTATTAATTCTACGTTCTTTATGCTCTTTTTTTTTAATTTTAAATATATGGAAAATTATTGATTGCATTGCTATTTTCCTGTTTAACTAAATGAAACTACAAATATCTATTAATAATTCTATGTTTGGTTCCCTGGTTCATGCCAGACCTTTTTTTTTTTTTTGTTGTTTAGTGACTTGTGGGCCCCATGATAGAGCACAATGGCGTCTTGCAATCCATGTAGCCGACCCCACCTAGTGGGATAAAGGCTTGTTGTTGTTGTTGTTGTTGTAGTGACTTGTGGGCCCCGGTTCTTCTTATTTTCAGTGGAAATCTATTTTCTCCTTTACTAGTTTTCTTTTCCCCCTTTGCTTTTCTTTCCATCTAAACATAGGATAGAGAATAGTTTGTTGGTTTTTTATGAATATTTTCTGTTATTTTACTTGACAAAATTGCTGTATCTCATGGCCATACATGTACTAATGCAGCAAAGGCTGGGATGGGTTGGATGTGTGAATTTGTGTCACACCATCTCAGCTGCTATATCTGCTACATGGGATGGAAGTCTTAAGGCCAAATCCTATGTTATTATTTGCTATGTTCATTTGAAAATTACAAGGAACCTGTGGACATAATTAGATCACACTGTAGGGTGGTTTATCCCTGTTCTTATCTTTTATTTTTTTTATCCTTGAGTAACATTTATATATTTCATCATGATTTCAAATTCTTTACTGACTTACATTTGATTTGCAATTTCTGTAGTCATTAGTTGCTGAATGTGTGATTGTTTATATTCTCCTTTATATGGTTAAATTGATAATTTCTATATATTTGTGATATTTAACTGAAAATTTACTTGCCCACAAAATAATCAAGATCATCTTGTTTGGGGTCAAATGGAGAACTATGCTGTAGGGAGGGAAAAACGCAGACAGCTATTTTTAATGCTTTGTTAGCTTGAAGCAGATAAGTCTAAGGTAAATCAGCTGATCCAGGTATATTTCTTTTAAACAAGTCCTAATCAATTGAGTCATTGATTATTGCTGAGATTGATTAAGTGGGTCAGAATGTACTATCATTTTGAACATTTTTTTTTTTATCTTGAAGGAAAGAGAGAGAAAAAGAACTGGTGTTTGAAAGTCTGCTGACAAATTAGTTGAATTGTTCTATATTTAATATTTCCTCAGATGTTGTTAGTGCATCTGTTATAAAAACTACTAAATCTGTCAAAAGTACGAGACATATGACTTTGTTTTGAGTTTGTCCAAAGTAGTAAACCTGTTATTTAAGCATGAAATAAACAACCTTGTTCTCTGAACAATATTTTGAAAACTCTTTCTAGGGGCTGACCCTTTTCTTATGGCTTTGTTTTGGCTTCCTTTTCGTGCTCTACACAAAGTTTTAATGAATGTCTCTTTAATAACTTTATTACAAGCTTAATATTGTTTTCCTCCTAAAGTCCTATTCAGCATCTCTTTTTCTGATTTTTTTATCAATGGAGAAAAAGGACTAATCTTGTCACTGGTTGATATAAATTATCAACATGATGATGCAACTGAAATGTGTCAGATGTTTTTTAGTTGTTAGGCCTTCACAGTTGGATGGGATCATCCTTGTTTACATCACTTTCTTTTTTAACCTTACCCATCTTTCTTTCCTTATCATGTCAAAAGTTTTTGGGAGAATCGCGTTGAAGGACCTTTTAAAAAAATTATTTACAAATAAAGACTAATAACAAGTCTCATTCAAAAAATAAAAAAAAATAAAAAGGTATGTTTTTATTTTAACAATAATCCCTTCTATATTGGTCCTTGTTTGTCAATAATTTTCTTAAGGGATCCTTAGAAGTGATTCTCCTAAAGTTTTTTGACTGATCTTATGTTTAGTATTTAATATGTTGTCTGTAATGAGTTTATTTTGGACAATGACATTGTTCTTGAGCAAGGAAATGATCCTACCTAAGCAAAGGTATTCTAACAGCTAATGAGCTCTCTCTTTTTTAAGTTTTTGTTATCATATACTAATGAAAATGTCATCCATATTAAAAAAAAAAATTCATTTCCAAGTTCTTAAATTTTAGGCAGACCGGATTGTGATTTGTTTAGGAAAACCTAATGACATATCTAAATATTTGCCTTTTTAATTACTTCTGACTTTAGAGTTACATTATAGTTGCAGTATGCACCATGCAATTATAGATATTGAGATATAGGCAAAGGTAACCAATTTTTGGCTTTTAGTTAAAAGTTAAAAGTTGTTTGGCTAATTTTTTTTTATGAAACCGCATTTGGGGATTTGGTCAATGTAACTTGTGGGAACTTTTGCAATGTGCATTTGGGGTTGGGGTATTAATGAGAAAGTTAAAATATGTACCTATTTTTTATATTACCATGCTACCCTTATTTCTATCAATTTGCTTTGTCTTTATGCATTGGTAAACATTTTGCAAGCCTTACACTCTTGATTCTTTGCCAAATATTAACATTGAAAAATTTAGTTTTCAAATCTATGCAATATTTGTGCAAAAAGAAAAAAAATCTATACAATATTAATTACATTGTTTATTTTTTGAATTATTATGTTATTTCGAATATGTAAGATAAATGTATGTGTGTTTTTTTCCCCAATAATCTTACACAAGACACAAGATATGAGTATTTAGTTTGAAATGAAGAAGCAATATAAATAAAAAAATATAATTTTATCTTTTAATTTTGGTTTTAAAATATTTATCATTGATTTTTTTTGCTTATTTTTAAATACTTTTACAATATCAAGTGGATGTGGCATAGATGGTAATAGTCTAGGCTCTTTAAGCATCATTTTAAGGTTCAATTACTGTAGGCTTGTATGAAAAAACATTATTTCAGAGAGAACAACTCCTTAAATGGCGTTCAAATTTCTTGAGAGATTAGTCTCATGGCTGCTAGCTGTTGGGATACCTTGGACAGTGAAAATATATTTACAATTAATTAATTAGCATATTTTTGTGTTACCAATATTATTGGTAAAGATTAATGAAACTTGATTTACTATCTTATTTAGGAGATTCGCTTCCAACATGTCTTTTTCATATATATCCCAAGTGAAACTTGATTGTGATATAACTTGTTAGAATTGAGATTCAAATGTGTGTGTGATTAGGCCTTGTCTTTTTCATACAAGTACCAATCGAAACTTGACTATGGTATCACTTATTATAGGTTTTCAACTTTATGCAATTATGGCTTTCAAAATCTTCTTTTTCATATAAGTTCCAGCAAAACTTGATTGTAATACCATTTATTAAAGATTGGAACTCAAACATGATGCAATTATAGGCTTCCAACATTGTGCAATTACAGGTTTTCAACACTATAATATTAGGCTTCTAACATTATCCTTTTCATATAGGTCCCAAATGTGTGTGCCAGGCTTCCAACGTTGCATAATTATAGGTTTTACACATAGGTATCACTTATTTGGGAATTGAGGCTCAAATGTGTGCAATTACAGGCTTTCAAAATCATTCTTTTCAAATCATATAAGTCTCCAACAAAACTTGATTGTCATTACAGGTTTTCAACATTCTGTACTTACGGGCTTTTAATATCATCCTTTTCATATAGGTCTTAAACATGTATGCAATTATAGGTTTTTAACATTGTGATTATGGGCTTTCAACATTATCTTTTTATACAGGTGCCTAATGAAACATGCAATTATAGGTTTTCAACTTTGTGCAATTATAGGATTCCAAAGTTTTTTTTTTTTTTTCATGCAGGTTCCTACCAAAACTTAATTATGATATCATTTATTAGGATTTACTTCCAATATTGTGTAATTATTGGTTTTCAACACTGTGAAATTATGGGCTTCCAACATCTTCTTTTTCATATAGGTCTCAAACTTATTTGCAATTACAAGTTTTAATTATAATTATGGGTTTTTTTATGTAAATCCCAAGTGAAGCCTAACTGTGATGCCAATTATTAAGGAATTGTGACTCAAACGTGTGTGCAATTATAAAATTTCAAAAATTGTGTAATTATTGGCTTCCAACATCATCTTTTATATAAAGGTCTCTAGTGAAACATGATTGTAATCCATTTGTTAGGAATTGGGTCTCAAATATGTATGCAATTATGAGCATATAACATTGTGAAATTATGAGCTTTCAACATTATGCAACTAAGAGCTTTCAACATTGCCTTTTTTATAATTATTGAAAGCTCATAATTGCACAATGTTGAAAGACAATGAAAAAGCTCCCAATTAAAACCTAACTATGAAAAAGATAATGTTAAAAGCCCATAATTACACAATATTGGAAGATCATAATTAGGGCCCAAGAGAACCTAAATGTGATGCTACTTGCTTAGTAATTGGACTCAAATTTGAATGTAATTAAGATTTTCTAACATTGTGCATTTATGGGCATATCATCTTAATCAGTTTATCCTAGCTTGATAAAAAATGAGACAAGATCTTATAGGATAGGACAAAAAATGATTCATGATGGGATGGGACACAGGACCACCTTTGGTATGTCACATCCTGTCCCAAATATAACATACACATTATTATTTTTTCCTTTTATTAATATGCAATAGTTTATTCAGTGTGTGTATTTATATTTTTGCTAATAATAATTAAGGTTTATTATATATATATATAAATATATATTTGCTAATAATAGTTTATTAATATTTTTGCTTATATATGTATATATATATATATATATATATAAATTTGAATGTAATTAAGGTTTTCTAACATTGTGCAATTATGGGCATGTCATCTCAATCAGTCTATCCTAGCTTGATAAAAAATGAGGCAAGATTTTGTATGATAGGACAAAAAATGATTCGTGACGAGATGGGATGCAGGACCACTTTCGGTACGTCACATCCTGTCCTAAATATAACATACATATTATTATTATTATTATTATTATTATTATTATTATTATTATTATTATTTCCTTTTATTAATATGTAATAGTTTATTTAGTGTGTGTGTATATTTTTGCTAATAATATACACATTTTTTATTAATATATAATAGCTTCAAATATCTCAAGATGAATAACTATGATTGGTTTGGAATTGAGACTCAAGTATGTATGCAATTAAGGGTGTTCATACTTGTTCTGTCTTGGTTTACTCGACTTCATCCTAATATGATCAGGATGACTATATCTTAGCCTAATAAAATATGTATATATTTTTGCTAATAATATACACATTTTTTGTTAATATGTAATAGCTTCAAATATCTCAAGATGAATAACTATGATTGGTTTGGAATTGAGACTCATGTACGTCTGCAATTAAGGGTGTTCATACTTGTTCCGTCCTAGTTTACTCGACTTCATCCTGATATGATCAAGATGACTATATCTCAACCCAATAAAAGATGTGATAGGACACGAGACCATCTTTGATACATCTCATCTCGTTTCAAATATAATATACATATTGTTATTTTTTCTTTTATTAATATATAATAGTTTATCTATTTAGATATACATATATTTTGTTAATAATATAATATACATATTTTTTTTTGGAAAAATTACGTATAGGTCTCATGAAATAGACCCATTTTATAAATAAGTCTTATAAAATTTAAAAACTACAACTAAGTCATTTTGAACATAATTTGAAATTTGGGTTCAAAGACAATGATGCCCTTATTAAAAATATATTGCACCAATTAAATAATTTACAACTATTTCATCAATAAAGTACAACTATCATTTTAACTTTTTGCAACTATAATTTTACATATCCAATAGTTAAATTGATCAAGTATTACAAGTTTGATACTAATTGTATACAACTACCTCATCAGTAATTTACAACTACTGTTTCAATATTTTATAAATGTAACTTCAGTATTTTTAATAGGGATAATATTATCTTTGTACAAAATTTAAATTACACTTAGGTTTTAAAGGGCTTGGCTATCATTTTTAAATTTTATGGGACTTATTTATAAATAAATATACTTCATGAGACCTATAAATAATTTTTTCTATTTTTTATTAATATGTAATAACTTCAAATATATCAACTAAGAACAAAAATTGATGACTTAATATTCTGCTTGACTAGTTTATTGAAGCTGTGTAACTCAATGATTTTGTTGTTATTATACTTGTAGCTTAAAGGTTTTTTAATTGTCATATATTTGACTAATTTACTTTAAGTTGTGATTGTGTTCTTTTACTTTAAATTGTAACTCAATAATTGAATTTATGTACTCATATTGTTTTTAATTTTAGACTTAGGAAGTTATAAAATTTAGTAGATATTGTTATTCAAGTCTCTTTTTCATGTTTTGTATATTTTACTAGGACGCCTTGCCTTGATCTTGTCCTTGTCCCAAATGGGGAAGGGATGGCTTTCACAACAAGATGAGACTCCCGTTTATTTTTGGGGATGAGACATGAGACCCTATCTCGGTCTGGTCCCATTCCATAGACACCCCTACATATATGAGCCCCAAGCAAAACCTAATTGTGATATCAAGAACTAGGGCTCAAATATTATGCAATTATAGGTCTTTTCAACATTTTCAACATTATGCAATTAGGACTCAATAATACAAGTTTTCCCTTTTCCATACAGGTATCAAGCAAATTTTGACTATGAGACCACTTAGTAGGAAATGAGATTTTAACGTGTGTGCATCTATGGGCTTTGAACATTGTGCAATTATGAGTTTTTAATATTGTGCAATTATAGGCTTTCAATATTGTATAATTACAAGTTTCCAACATTGAGCAATCATAAGTTTTCATACAAGTCTCAAGTAAAACTTAACTGTAATACCATTTATTAGTAAGGCTATATTGTGTGTGAAGGAAGGGGATGTGTCCTAGCATGAAAATAGTAGCATTATTTTGGAGGCTTATGAGTAGGGGTGTGAATAGGTCAGGCTTCTATCACGGGCTTACATTCTAGCTTACTTTAGGCCAATTTATTAAATAGGCTTATGTCAGGTTCAAATTTTTAATTAGACTTATTTAGCTAGGCTTAGTTTTTCAAGGCATAGCCTACAAGCCTAATAGGATGGCCTATTGACACACATACATACATACATCCATACATTATGTAATATATCACACATGCACATCACTTTCATCATTTTATTTTTAATCAATCTTTTTTTTATTTCTAGTTTTGTTTTATATATTTATTTTTTATGTTATTACTTTATTATTGTAATTAATAAATTAGGCTATATATTTATACTAATAACCCTAAAGTATGTTTGAGATGTTTCAAATTAAAACACTGGCTTATTTTAAAGGATTGCTTTTAAATAGGCCATACTTTAAGTAGGGTTAGACCTGATATATGAAAAAAGTTTTATACAAGCTTTAGACTAAGTTCAAGCTTTTGACTTATTATACAGGTTTTAACTTATTTGACTAAAGTTTAGCCAACTTAACCTATTTTTACCCTTAATTATGAGTTTGTTGCGGAGGGAGTTGAAGAGTCATGGTTAGATTGCAAGCTAATGCTGCAGCAAATTACTTTGCCCATTGTGCTATAGACTCGTGGTCAGGTTTTCATATGGTATGTGATCATAGTGCTAGGTTAAGCTAATTAATGAACGTTGATCCTAATCATTTGAAAAGCTTGAGGGACTAGTTCGTAATTTCATCTTCTAAAAAAAAAGAAGAAAAAAAAAGGGGTTGGCCAAGCCGTTACTGGTGGCTCAGGTCTTAAGCCACAATGAAAAAAATTCACATGCAAACTTAATAAAGGCAAACATGACATAAATTATGACATTTGAGATACAAAATCCACCATGAAATTTTTTAAAGGATAACTGCAAATACAACATAGCACAACTGTCACGAACTTGTGAATACATCTAAATCTAGAGATGAAGGAGTGACATCTTAGGGACCCATGAATAGAATATGCTTCTAGATTTAAAAGAGCATTTACAAAGATATTTTCAGATTGCCTACCAACAAAATGTTCACATCGGCAGTGAGATTCAAATCTGCAATCTTGTAAATTATGAGCCAAATCCTTACTAATTAGACTAACATTTATTGACAAACCGTTGAATGATTTTTATAAAAAATAAAGAATTGATGTAACATATGAGAGATGGGCGGGGGGAACTAGAGCCTTTACGGAACCAATGCATGAAAACTCAATTTTTATTATTTTCAAAAGGATAGAAAAATAACATCATGATGCATATATAAAAAGATAGCATGATTATTTGCGAAAGACCATGCATTGTACTAATTAATTAACAGCGAAAACCATACACTTATTACATCTGAATAAAAAACAAACCTAACAACCAAACAATTAAAAAAACTATACCAAGTTCTATTATCAAGACATGTATATAGGGAATTAATAGATCCAAAGAAAAAATACTAATAATATGTAAATAATTAATATCTGGTCGTATCAGGAAGAGGAGTGCCATCCAAGAAGTGTTTGAACAAAGAGAGCGATCTAGCTGCCTGGTAGCTTGGCACTTGATGCCCTGCATGCCTCACTGTGGCAAATGTTAGCTCTCCCTTATACACTTGTGTGTATCCTGCAACCTGCATTATATACAGTTTTTTTCATTTTATATATATATATATATATATGTATGTATGTATGTATGTATATATTTATTTTCCTGTTTCATTGTTGAAGTATTAGTATGGTCCAATCTTCAGAAAAGCTAAAAGATTTTAAGTTCCACATCGAAGAGCAAAGAGTCTTGATGGATGTAATATAGCTGCATAAGTGGTAGGGGGCGGGAGGAGAGGTGTTATTGTTAGAATAGCTTGTAATATTTTATACAACAAATTTTTTTTTTTAATAGAATGACAATTATAAGATTGTCTTTATTCTAAATTTTGTACCTATTAAAAACATAAAAATAAAATTGTATCAAATATGAACCATTCAAAATGAATATAATCCTATTTATTTCATGTGGGATGAGACTTAACTAAATTCTCTATTCTTTTTACATAGAGTAAAACAGTTGGTTAAAAAAATTTAATAATTTTTCTAAGTTACCTTGAATCAATAAGTTAAAAATAAAAGTTCATTCTCCTCCGTTTTTTTTTTACCGGAAATGGTATTTTTTAAAAAATGAATAATAAATATTTTATTAAATTTAGTATAGAGTCTTGTACTATTTAGAATCATGAATAGATATCTAATGAAAAAGGGATTGGATCGGAGAAAGTAAGAAACAATTAATTATGTTGATTTGGATGATATTACGTACCTGTCCATTGAAGTACCAAGGATGCCATGTAGTATTGACCTTCATTTTCATAGCGTTAAGGGAGTATTGTGTTGAAGTAACTGGCACTCTTCCATCTGTGTCCCCACTGTTTTTCATCCAAATCCAACACATTTAAAATCAAAATACAAACCTTGACAATTTACGATATATATCCTTAGCATTAATATACAACACAACAACAATAAGACTTAACTTATTAGGTGAGATCAATTACATGAATGACAAATTGTTATTGTGCTTTATCAACAACTAAATCTCTAAAAATATTGTTAACCAGGATATCCATTTTCAATAATTTTATTTAGTGTTCTATTTGGTCTTCTTGATGTACTTCCCTTTATAGGAGTCAGAATTATTAGTTCCATCCTTCTCATCGGTGCCTTCATTGATCTTTTTTGGACACATGGTGGATGATATAAATTTGGGGGAAAACGCGTGTATGTGATTAATCCCACAGCTCATTTCTTTCTCTTCCATTTTTCATTCTCTTACAAGTCAGGGAAAATTCATTTTCTCTCATATTTTCTCTCCATTTAAATGTAAGGATGAGATAAAAAATATGAGGGATTAGAGTCAATGGTAAAGAATAAAATAATAATAAAAATATTGTATGTACCTGAAAATCCAAACCCTAATTCCATGGTCCATGAGTTCTTGAATAAGTGGAAGAGTGGTTGATGGGCTATCTTGCCAAATTGAAATCACAACACTACAAGTTGACCACTCGTACTTCAGTTTTGTGACATTAGCATGAAGTGCCTCTTGAACTTCAGGTCTATTCATATATGCTATCACATAATATTCATTACATGGGTCCAAAACAATCTGCAAAAACAAATTAAAAAACATATTTTATTTATTTTTTTAAATAATAGCATAAAAATATGTTATTTCACGTAATTGAATGAATTATATTAATGAATATATACAAACTTACAGAGGTGGGATTGGGGGTGGCAGTGAGATTAGGGTTGTTGCAAATAGGAGCATAAATGTTGTAGATATCAATATTGTAAGAATCTTTATCTACTTTCTCCATAGCTTCATTGCATCGTTTAGGTTGATCTGTGGCTTTTGGAGAGAAATCACAGAACTTATCAATCTCATAAGCCGTTGAATTCGAAATAATCACGTGGCTTCCTAAGAAATCGTACATTCCCTTATCATCTGTCTCATCATTTATCGCTGCGTTCCCTATCTGCAGCAACACCACATGTTCATAACTTGTGAATAATATGACTCATTTCATACATTATTGTACCGTACACAAGAAAACATGTAAGCATGTACATTATTGTACCATACACTTCTGTCTTTATTTTTTTTTTCCAAAAAAAGGTTTTTATAAAGTAGTGTTTGTGAAAGGATGTAGAAAGATATAAAAAAAGTTCAAAAAAGACCTTGCCAAATGTTTACATCTAATTTCTCATTACTATAAATTACATGTCTCTCTCTCTCTCATATAAGTGTAGAAGACCATCCTAATATCAAAATCAAACTAAAATGCAAGTAGAGAAGCCAAATCTAATTAGTTTTTCTGGGCTAATTTTATTGGGCTCAAGCAGCATCTTAAGAAAGAAGGTATCCAGCTGGGTCTACGACAGCAACATTTACAAATGAGCATAACTTGTCTAATTAATCCAATTCATTGGACTGATCTCTAACAGCTAAAACCTAAGTTTAGAAGATAAATATCACATAGAAATTAAAGAGATGAGTGTTGAGACTATACATACATACATACATACATGTATTGATAAAAATTGAGAATGTGTGTGTATATACCATGATTCCTTTGAGGTTGATGATGGTCTTGTTAGCTTTGATGTTATGTTGGAGAATAGTTTGAGCAAGTTGAGGCCACATAGTGACCAGCATAGCTTTCTCCAGTAATGTAGAAATCCCTATTCTTGTATTCTGGAAACCTCTTTAACCAATTCAACAAGAACATGTAATTATCTGAAGCTGTTCTTTTGTCTCCACTGTGGTCATAATCTGATGTCTCGTTTGAGTATGAAAATCCCACTCCAGCTGGTGACTCCACAAACAATACATTTGCAACTTCACCCCAAATTAAAAACCACAAATTAGTTAATAACCGAAACACAAGAACAATAAATAAGGCTTGTTTAGTTTTGTTCCTATTTTTTGTTTTTAAAAACTATTCAATAAACTAATTTTGAAAAATTGTTTTTCAATACAAAATAAAAAGAAAATACGTTTGATTATGTTAATTTAAAGATAATTTTAGAATTAAGAAATAGGACAATAATGGTGGTAGTCAGTGGCTATAATTGTGATTAGTCATAGTTAGTGATCTCTTACAATAGTGAAATGAAACATTATTTTAAGATAAAAACAAAAAATTAAAAACAGTTTTGAAAATATTTAAATTCAATATACTTATCCAAATAATTTTTTTTTTGAAATAGAAAATAGTTTTTTTTAAACAGAATCAATCAGGTCTTGATTCTTCTAAATTTTGGCTTTTTTGGCTTTTTTTGTAAACTAGTCTGTTATTTCATGATTGAAGCATGACATGTTCTTCTTTTTGATACAATGAAGCATGATATATCAGCAATAAGCCTCTTAATAATATTTTTGAATTGATATCCCGTTAAATTTATATTATATGTGGATAATTTTTTTTTAAAATTTATAGCAACATATATAAATACAACTCTCATCACATATATATGTGTCACATTCAATTACCAAAATGGCTTAATTTAAAATTAAGAAAATCATTTGTAATTTTGCAAAAAAAAAAACTAGCTGGTTTAATTTGCAAACTGGCATCATATCTTTTTTTTTCTAATAAAAGAAAGTATATTTTCTTATCTCATTGTTTTAAAATATGATACCATATTTGGAAATAAATAACCAAATTTACAAGTAAAAATAAATTATGTGAGGTACCATAGTTCCACGCATATCTGTTCTTGAAAAGTGTTTTGCCATCACTGTTGACTCTAAAGGGTCCAAGTTCTTGCATGGCTCCATAGGCAAGAGATGAACATCCAGGTCCTGATAAAAAAAAATAATTTAAAAATGTGTAACTTTTCTCATTTAATATGAATTATTAGAAGTTATATCAACATGCAAATATATAAAGATTATTTATTAGATTAAATAATATCAAGTGACAATTAAAGTATATTTATCACCATTGTTTACTGGCAATTGAGAGTCACAATTTTCTAGTGTTTTATTTATCATAATTAAACTTAGAGAAATTAATTATAATATATCACATCAAATGATTCTGTTTACCTCATCATCATGTTCGCCCAGAAACCCTCTCCATGAGCAATGAATGAAGGGATTTAAAATAATAAAACTGTTTTTTTATATATTAAATATAATTTAAGAACTTACATAAAAGAGGTAATGCAATTGGATTTTACTTACCCAGAAAAAGGATATTTTCAGGCTTTTAAAAAAGAATTAGTTTATAAAATTATGCATTCTTTAAAAAAATTCTTATTAAAGAGAATCAATTTATTGTTTTCGAAAAATATATTTTAAGATATTAATAACAATTATTGATGTTTAGTGACACAGCAAAATTATCCATTATATTATGATTGTCGACAATATAATGTATATACAGTTTTTTTGTGGCCAGGTTCTGAAACACTTTTTATGGCTTTCTCAATATTAAATAAATATATTTCTTAGATTGTTTCAAAATTTCTTAAAAATCTTAAAAGTCATTTTTTTTCAATAGCCAAAAATAATTTTTTTCAAAAACATTGAAATAAGTTATTACCTTATATTACTTTAGTTATAACCTTCTTTTTTGAGCAAAAATCAAAATATATAACCTGATATTCCTAACGTTGTGTAAATATTTTAAATTTGTCTTTGTTAGAAAACACCCTGTTTTTGGTAATCAAGAAAACACCCCTTTTAGTTGTAACTATAGAAAAACATAAGTGTAATTTCATAAAACAAAGATATCAATAGTAACTTATTTTAATAATTATTTAAAATAATTTTAATTTAGATATAGCTAATTTCCTTTCTTTCTAAAATGTTCATTAAAAAAAAAAAGAAGACTTAATTCAACCAAAATATGATGACAAATTAAATCATGAACATGGCAACGATTTTTATTATATGTAATTATATATATATATATGGATCGTGACATTAAAAACCGAAATAAGAATCCATTTCAAAATTGATGATTAACTTAACATTCATGAATATATATATATATATATATATATAAAATTAACAACACAAGACGCATTATTTTCGGTTTAATTTCAATCAAACACATATATTACCAAACATTGAAACATTTGAGAAATCAAACAAGAATACAAATTCATCAAACAATGAGGGAAAAAAAATACTAAAACAAAAAATAAATACTATGTATTACCTCCATTAAGCCAAAGAACTAGAGGTAGATTGTCCTTATTACGACAAGCTTCAGTGAAATAATAATAAAAGGCTCGTCCTGCTTCTTCATTCACAGTCACATAGCCTCCATACTGAGAAAACCTAGCCAGAGGCTGACCTGGCAATCTCACAATTCTATCTTTCTCCTTCAATCCTTCTTCATGATGATGATCTCCAACAATATGAGAATATTCAATATCAATCTCTTCTACTTCAAAAAGCCTCTTATCAATTCCTGCAATATTATTATATTTATACTTTAGCTTCTGAAACTTGTCTTGAGCTTTTGCTTGCTGGTTTCCATGGAAGCCTAAAACCACAGAAACTGATGAAAGAATAGTTATAAGAGACAGAAGAAGAAGACGATGATGATAATAGTTTGGTTTCAACATATTGATGATAATGATTATTGTGTTTGTGAGAGAAGTGAGTGAGGATGAGAATAAAGCTGATGAATATATATAGAAGCGATCATAATTGTTATAGGTTTAATGGAATGTACGTTAAGATTTGCTTTATTTTTTTTTTCATTTAATGTGGAAATTAAATTGAATTTAAATTAGCATATATTTGTTTTTTCAGCTGTAATAATATAATAATCATTTAATTTTTTGGAGTTTAGGGAATCCGTGTTAATTAATAAGATATTATAAGTAGGAGAAAGAATCTGAATTTGTTACCAACCACATACTGAAGATTTCAAATCAATGAAAAATTTTAAAAACATGTATGCTTTTGATTCTTATATAATTTTACTTGATTTTTAATTTGATACATGTATCAGATAATTTAGTTCTTATTATAAATTTACGTTGATATTTTTATTGTCATAATTTAATTTAATTTGATCTTGAATGCTTTTTTTGAAAAATTTGTATTCACCCCTTATAGCATTTAAATACAATTAATATATATAATTAAAAGTAAAAAATTTATATATGGAGCATTATAAAATATTTGCAGAAATTTAAAATAAGAAGAAGAAAGGTTTCTGCTTCTAAATTTTTTTATTACTTATAACTGGTAAATATCATGTGAATTTATTAAATAATTTTAGATAATATGATATTATTTTTGGTAAAAGTCAACACTGCTTGTTGATTAATAGAAAAACTCATGAGTGCATCAATATTCAATATTGAATATAAAATATATTGTTAAGTGAAGAAATTAGCTGTAACCTGTATATAGAGAAAGAGAATAATTGTTATAGTATATATTTAATAGTTTTGAAAACAAACCATATGGTGAACGTATGGCAAGATTTGTTAATAAGATAAATTTGTGAACTAAAATGGATATGAAGTTATGACATTTTTGTTTTTGGCCAAAATAATAATAATTTTGATTTTTCCTTGCAACAGGAGTTTTGCTAAGATTGCGTGTTAATTAGTTATAATCACATATTAAGTTGGGGAAAATTGAATTAATTACACTACACCGCATTCAAGCTTTCAAAGAAATGAAAAATTGGTGAAAATGATTTTTAATTTGTTATAAAAATTACTCCATCCGTTCAAAAATGTAACGCATTTTTAACCAAATTTCATTCTCCAATAAAATAATTATCTACTTTCAAACTAATCCTATCTTTTTATAATTACTCCTATTAAGCATCCTACAATAAATATAAAGTCACCACTTTTTTTTAAAAAAATAATGATTACACCTCAAAAGATTAAAAATACCTTACATTTTTAAATATCTAATTTCTCAAAAAATACCTTACATTTTTTAATGGAAGAAGTATTATTTTAATTAGTATAAGTTTAGTCCTACTTTTAATTTCAGATTTATAATTTTTATTTTGATTAATTTTACCCTTAATTATATCATTATGAAAAATAAACTTGCTATAACTTTTATATTTTCTATCGACATCCTTTATTTATTTCCATGGAAAATTATTACCATATATAAGCTTTCACGTACATAACCCTAGTAATTATATATATATATATATATATATATCTCGAATAATTAGATATTTTTTATTTTAGTTATAAATATTAATAAATATGGTCTTCTAGACTTGATCAACAAAGGAAGGGAACATGAATATATAAAAAATATTTTATATATTTATACCATATGGAACATTTCGGAGGGTTCCACGTTTGTTGACTATGAAAATATATTCAATGCTTGAAAATCGCACACCAAACAAAAATAACTAATTATCCTACAATATCGTTCTTAAATATGTAATTTAATTTTTTCTCAGAGAGAGACTGAATATGGATCTCATCTGAATTTTGAGTTAATTCATAATTCATATATTCAAACTTCATTAATAGTATAATTTATTTATTTTTCAAATTTCACAATGCATAAGAAATGTATTTAATTCTTAACAAAGAAAGAGGATGTTTTCAAAAATGAAATAAAAGATAAAAATAAGGTTAAAGTTCACTTTTAATTTTAACATTATACATTAATATTTTATTTCAATCCTTTAATTTTATAAAATATATTTTCTATTCTTTAATCCTGATATTGTTTGTTTCATTAACAAATAATTTCTGCATTAAACTTTTAAATATTGATAAAATATTTTTAAATATTGATATATTAAGTTTAATTTTTTTTAACTAACAATAGTGGACACAAAAATTAATTATTTGAAACTGATACGTTAGAGTTAAAAGACTGAAAATATTTATAATAAATTTAAGAAACCAAACTAAAACCTTATATAAATTAGAAAATAAAAAAGATACACTTAAACAAAAAATAACAAGTTATAGTCAACTTCGCTTGCCAAAACCTCCATGGAGCATTGGATCCATCATCCAATAATTCATATATTTTATCATAGTAGGTAGTTGCCTAATTTTATTCCTTCATTAACCTTTAATTAATAATATTCTTTCTTAAATATAATAAATGTTTTTGTATACAATTTGTGTGATGATATGATAATATATTAATATTCTTATTAATTTAACTTTGATTTTTTTTTGTTGGTTTCTCAAGATATCCTTACAGTTGACAACCATGAAACATAATATATGTTCTCTCACTCTGATCTTTTAATTAAAATTTAAATATAAAACTTACAGGAAATCACTTTGTTTGCAAGTTGTGAGGACTTATCTTAAAATTCATATAAATACTTCTAACCCACTCTAATGTCATTGTTTATGTAATATTTGTTTTCAGAAGACCTTGATTGCTGTAAAAAAATAACTTTGTGTCATTACAATTATAAATCAATATAAAATATAAAATATATAGAAAGTCTCAAAATTTATAAGTAATTTGTCAAAGTGTCAAGATCGATACAAATTTTTATTCTGTCAATCTTTCTTCACATATTTTATAGGACTTACACAATTTTCTAAAAAATATTTTAAAAAAATTTTAAATTATTATTTATCCCGTGCATGTTAGTAAAAACATATAGTTTGTGCGGAAAAAAAATTTAATATCCTTGGCTTATTTAGAATAAATGACAATAAACAAAAATAGTTGAGTGCTCGTTTCCCTTGACAGTGCCTTGAATTCAATAGTCTTGTATGTGTGGGGGAAATTGCCATTAGGAGAGTTTTTTTTTTTAAACAAAAATTTAAATGATTCAGATTTCAGGGACTTATCAAGGTTATGACATGTTTTCAAAGTCAAAGAATGCACAAAAGTATTTACATATTTGAAAAAAATTGTATTTTATGATTAAAATACCCCTAATGCATATTATTAAAAGATAAAAGAAAGCCTCACATTTAAAAATTAGAAGACAAATCATAAATATATAAACTTAAGAAATATTTAACCAAATGGCTTAAGCTATTTTGGTAGAGTATAATATTATCAAGTATATTTAATATAAGAATTCTAACACATATAACTTAGTACTTAGGCAATTTTTCACTAAGAATGAAATATAAATGTTATAGGGCAAGTAAAATGGTCCTCTTTAACTAATAAATGTTTGTAAATAATGAGTCTTATCAAGATTGTTCACCAACGAAGTTTTCATATCTATAGCAAGACTTGAATCCATGACTTTATAAGTTATTTACCAAATCAATACCAATTAAACCTACCTTTATTGGTTGCTATCAAGAGAGTTTTACACATTTTGGACACTGAATAATCTATGTTGGACTATTAGTATTGGGCTATTGTAAGAGAATATATACATACATTGTAATTGTTTTGCATTACCAATAAAGGTTGATCCAGTTAATAAGAATTTGGTTTATAATCTACAAGATTATGGAATCAAATTGCTAAAATGGCAACACACCCAAGGAAGGTGAATTAGGTGTTAATCAAATTTTTAATTTTTTAAAACTTTTTTGGCAAAACAAAGTGTATGTGTGAATTTGAGCAAATTGAAGTTATAAGCTTTGTTTGTAAGAATGCTAAAGTTGAATTTCACAAACACAATGGATGCAAGAATATTTAAAATCAATTTATAAGTAAGAACGTGTAAATACTTCAAATTTAGTTTTAACACAAAAACAAAGCATAAACAAGATGTGTTGGAAATATAAAGAGTTGAGGGATAGAGAGAATGCAAAGTTGAAACTTATCCTCATTTAGCTCTATCCTTGAGCCTATATCTAGTCTCCAAGCAAACTACTTGAAATTTTTCCACTATAATCAACAAATTTGATCTAGGCACTTGTGAGTCGCTACAATCCCTCACAATTGCAATGAGTTTTTTTTTTTTTTCCCAATAGAACAACCTTTCTTGAATCCTGAAAAAAATCTCACACTCACTTTTATAATGATTTTGAATAAGTAAATCACTCAATAAAAACTCTCTTTGAGAGTTGTAATGAGTACAATGAAACACTTATATTCAAATAATGAAGATATTGGCTCAAAAACAATAATTTTTTTTAAAGTAAGAGTAAATTGAAAAAAAAATCATAACTCAATGATTTCTGAACTTATTTTCCTGTTAAACAAGTTTTGAGTATTATATTTATAAGTCAAGGAGTAAAATAGCCGTTGAAGACATAATATAGCTATTTATAAACATTGGGTAGAGTATAGAAAGAGTTTTTTGAGAAAAGCACGTTTTTCTGAAAAATTCATTTAATATGTGTAAAAATTAAAAATTTGCATAAATTAGATTATCCCACATGAGGATGAGTAGCATAGAAAAGCTTTAGGAAGTCTTAAACCAGAACATGTGTAGAGGCATTCCAAACCTTGTGAGGATGAGTTAGGCATAAACACAAGCTTCTTTGAAACTCCAAAACTCACAAGGGTGCATTATATAGAACTCATGAGGATGAGTTAGGTAAAGTTTTGGAAATACTAAATTTACAACTTCATGAAGTATTCAAGTGTTCTAAGATTTTATTAGGCAAACTTGAGTTTTAAACTAAAACTGGTGAGTAAGAGATTGAAACTCTTGTGCATGAGATTGAAATTCACAAGGATAGGATGGTTTAGACTTAAATTACTATTGAAGGTCTAAATCTTTTGAGGATGGGCTCAAAGCTCATGAGGATGAGACTTGCAAAGGAAAAAATTGTTTCATGCGAGGATAAGTTATATTATAGCATAGGACTTCTAAAGGTTATAGCTCACTCAATACAACTTTAAATTTAGCAAAACTATATGTCATTGAAAATATGTTGAAATCTAGTTTTCAATAAGAAAAAAAGTTTCATAGACTAGATTCAACATCATTCGTGAGGTATTGATCAAAAGAGTGACCAAAGATTAGAACTTAACATTGTGTAGAATTAATATCTCACTACTTAATTTCAAAAAGTGATAATTTTCTCAACAGAATTCCATTTTGAATAATTTTACTTCAAAAAAGAGTCTACTCTCAAATGAGATATGTTATGCATCAAAATGATTTGTATAGTAAGAGATATGATTAGAAACATAACCAAAGATCAAATCTGATTTTCTATACAATTCATATTTCAAAGCCAATTAGACTTTAAGTTTTCATAACTATTTAAAAAATACATGTTTTGATTTGAAATAACTTGAGCAAATAAAAGCATATCTAAATTAATGAATTTAACAAAAAGATTTCTTGTCTAAGGATATTATACCTATCAAATCCAAGGCTTTCAATGTACATCCAAGTTTGTAAAGATGTCTTCATCCTCTTAAACTTTTTTGGATACATCATCATTTTCTTCATCTTTATATTCTTCAATCTTAAGTGCAACACATTCATGATAGTCTTAATTTATTTCTCTTCATGCTCACTCTTATCTTTATTTTAAACAACCTTCAATAATATATTATGAACAAAGTGATTAGTCCACGTATCTATGCATGAGAATAAATATAAAAGTTACTGTGTCATTCATATGGAAAGTCTTATACTTAGTATATATCTAATTTAAACACCCTGAGATATATAATTATTTTAGGATAAGAAAAAATATGATAATATAAAATAACTTTTATTCACATAAATTTTTTTTCAAATCTCTTATAAGATAGAACAATATAGGTAAAAATACTTTAAAATACTTATTCCACAGTATAGTTAACTTCTCTAATATTTATCATCATCAAAACATATAACATAATATCATAACCATTATGTCCAACACAAATTTAGTTGCTGATGTGAGAACCTTGTTGGCAATTTATAAGTGCCTTTTTAAGTACTCGTTGAGTCTAACGCATGCCTTGGTCTTGGTGAATTCTTGAGACCTAATTCACCTAAACTTTTCTTTATAAAAAAAATAATCGTTTTGCATTTTAATGATTTTCAAAACTATTCTCATTTTTATTGTTAAAAATAAGAAAATAAAGACATCTTATTTTTTTTGTTTTTAAAATATATTGAATTTAATCACTATAAGTTGTAATCATTCATAAATCAGACCCAGTGAAAGAATTAAATTATTTTATCAAATAATTAAAGTCAAAGAGGTGTTGGGCCTATTTATACATATATGATAGACCTAATATATAGCACACATCACCAACTTTTAAACTTAATTACTAATATATTAAAACTACATCTAATATTCCTCACATCCCCTTCAAGTTTAGATCCATAAAATTTTTTGGTTCCTAACTTGTACAACATTCTTTCACGATCTTTCTTACCAAGGGCTTTGGTAAATACATTTGATAATTGCTCTTTGGTTTTAATAGGTTGTAAAATAATCATTCCCTGTTGCAATTTCTCTCTAAACAAATGATAATCTATTTCTATTTGTGTCTCTCATGGAAAACTAGACTATTAGCAATATAAATTGCAACCTTGCTATCACAAAAAATTAGTATAGTTTAATATTACATAAACCAAGGCCTTGTAACATTCTTCTGACCCAAATAGCTTCTACCACAGCTTATTCTAATGCTCGATATTCAGCCTCTACTAAATATCTAGAGATAGTGCTCTATTTCTTGGACTTCTAACAAATGAGTGAACTAGCTAGCTTTACAATGTAACCTGTGACAAATCTTCTAGTGTCACCACAAGTTCCCTAATTATAATCTACAAAGCACTCAACCTTATTTTCTTGTGATGTAGAAAGTAAAATTCCCAATCCTGAACATCCTTTAAGGTACCTCACCACATGAACAGCAAAATTCATATGGAATTTCCTTGGTGCACTCATGAATTAGCTCAAATTTTGCACAACATAACTCAAGTCAGGCCGAGTAGTAGTAAGATAAGAAAAACTAATTACCATTTTTCTATAAGAAGTTGGGTTTTGCAAAAATGGATCCTTTTTCTTCTTTTGTTCAAGTTTCTCTCTTTTATGTTGCCTTCTTCTTTTTTGGATACTAATTCTACCTTTTGCACTTAGGTGCATATTTTGCTCAATTAGAATACTAATAATTTAGGCTCTACTGAGCCCAATATCATATATTAGATCTAAGGTATATTTCTTTTGAGATAGAACCATGCCTTTATTTTAATCTAGCTAATTCTATTCTTGGAAAATATTTCAAGTTACCTAGGTCTTTAATTTTGAACTTATGGTGCAGATGTTGTTTGATAGCATTTATTCTTTACATGTTATTTTCAATCACAACCAAGTCATCAACATAGGACAAAATAAGAGTAATTTCATATTTATTCTATTTAATAAAAAGAGAATAGTCGTACTTGCTTCTCTTAAACCCCCTTGAATTAAAGCTTTAATAAGTTTGGCATTCCATTTCCTAGATGCTAGCTTGAGGCCATATAGAGATTTGATCAATTTGGCAACCTTATTAGTCCCAACTTGATCAAACCTCTATGGTATTTTTACTTAAACCACTTTGAGCAAATCTCCTTGTGAAAAGGCATTATGCACGTCTATTTGAAACAAAGGTCATTTATGTATTATAGCTAGAGTAAGCACAGCCCTCACTATCACCATTTTAACTATAAGGGAAAAGGGTTTCAAAATAATCAACTCCCTCTTACTAACTATATCCCTTAGCTATAAGTCTAGCCTTACACCTCTTTAAAGTACCATATACTTTATGCTTCTTTTTATATACCTATCTACATCCTATGGGTTTCTTACTTATGGGTAGGTTAACAATTTTCTAAGTTTTATTTTCCTTTAAAGCCCTTATTTCATTTTTCATAGCATTTACCCACTGTTGGTTCTTTATAGCCTCCTCAAAAGTACTGGGCACAATATGCAGCAGATAGTTATTATAATCTATAGAGATGTTAGCATAGGACATATATTCATGTATAGAGTATTTGTATTTTACTTGTTTGACCAATATCAACATGACATATATAATCATTCAACCAAGCTGGAGGCTTTCTAACTCTCCCTGGAGGTGGATGTAGCATATGTTTAGTATCAATGTTTGTCTGGTTTCCTTCCCCCTCTTCATGCAAAGCCGAATTAGGATGAACATCATGTTGTTCTTGAGTAGTTGGGTAAGTATGAGCAGAATCATCATTTTTCATAAAGAAAGGAGGCTCATATTCATATAAAAAATGGGTCAACCACAGTAAATAGTAGAGAGGTATTTTGATTGGAAATGAATTTATCTTGGAAAGGATGTTTTTTTTCCATAAAACTTACATGTCAACTAATAAACATAATATTTGTTTTCAAATTATATAGAATAAATCTCTGTTGATTAGGTGAATATCTCATGAAAATACATGGCTCAGATCTGGGCAGAAATTTATCAATAGAATGCAAGACAATAGCAAATGCTAAGCACCTAAAAACTTTTAAAGCAGATAGATCAGGTTATTTATTGTATAAAAGTTCATAAGGAGTTTTATAACCTAAAGTTTTGGACGGTGTTCGGTTAATCAAGAAAGCAGCAGTTTTAATACTTTCTCCCTAAAATTTCAATGGCACATTATCTTGGAAAATTAAATTTCTAGCTACTTCTAATAAGTGTTTGTGCTTCCTTTTCATCACCCCATTTTGTTGAGGTGTATAAGGACAAGAAGTTTCATGTAAAATACCTTTCTTATTAAACAAATCCATAAGCTTAAAATTTATATATTCAAGCCCATTGTCACTCTTGATTCTTTTAACATTTGTAGAAAATTGAGTATCAACATAAGCAAGAAAGTTTCATATACATTTCATAATGTTATTCTTTTTCTTCATCAAATACAACCAAGTACAACAAGAAAAATCACCGATAATAGTAAGGAAAAATCCATTACCATTGTATGTGGGTTGCCTATATAGCCCTCAAACATCCATATGGACCAATTCAAAACATGTTATTTTAGAAGTACTAGAGAAAAAAGGCAATCTTATTTGCTTAACATGGATATAAATCTCGCATTTATTCTTACTAGAATTACTAATTTCTTTATGAAGTATTTATAAAGGCCTAAGGACATCTAATGGAGTATGACCTAATCTATTATGCCATAAAATTGATCTCTGTTCATTATGAGTACAGTTATGCTGTGATGTCATAATGTTGTCAAGTTTTATATCTTTCCTAATGAAGTAAAGCCTATTGTGAATTTTACTAATCTTTCAGGAGTTCCCAATTGAGGTCTCTTACAAGGTACAAAATTCAGCATAAAAAGAGACTACACATTTTGCGCTCTTAGTCAGTCTAGAGACAAAAATAAGGATAAAGCAACATTGAGGAGCATAATAGACATCAATTAGGGTAATATTATTGAACAAAATCAAAGATCCAATGTGAGTAATAGTAATTGTATCTTCATTAGGCATCTTAATTTTTCTTAAAGGACCAAAATATGGCTTAACAAAATCAAGCATGCTTAGACTACTGACTACATGACATGTTGCACCAAAATCTAATATCCAATTAGAATGATATAATGAAACAAGGAGAGTACTAGGCAAACCTGAAACTTGTTCCTCAATATAATCAATTGTTCTTACTACTCTTACAACTACTTCATTTGTATCTTTCTTCAACAATTGGAGAATTTGATCATATTGCTCTTTAGTCAGAGAAGGTAATAAAGCAGAATTTATCACCTATTGCTCTCTTACAACTTGATTCACTTAGTTATCTGGCTTTTCACTATTCTTGAAATTTTTCAAAAATCCAACAAGGGAGTAATAGTTGTCATGTTATGGCCTTGTCAATTACATTGAGTATGTTCATCTTAAGAGTGTCCTCGCCCCTTACCCCCATCTTGATGACCACCCTTCTCGATCATAGTGGTAGGCTCAATAGGAGTTGCTTTCCCTTGAAAGGAGGACATTCCCAATTGATCCTCTTCTTGGCGGATTATAGAATAAGCATTGTTGACAAAAGGTAGATGAGATTTCAAAAGGATTTGAGATCGAACACCTTAATAGGTGTCATTGAGACCTATAAGGAATTGAAATAGGCATTTTTGCTGTATAATCTAAACATATTCTTTCATGGTAGTGCACTGACAAGAAGGAAGAGGAACAAGAATACCGTGTTCATCCCACATATCTTTCAATTTGGTATAATAGTTGGAGACGTTGAGGGATCCTTATACACAGTTTGACTAGGCTTGATGTAGAGATGTTTTGTGAAATCTTTCTTGTAAGTCTTTCCGAATGAGATGAAAGGTATCAAAATACACAATACCATTTACAATCTGTTTGTCAACTAAGTTGACAAGCCAAGAAATCATGATTGCATTGCAATGATCTCATTGATCATGAAGCTTGGAATCCTGATTCAGTGATACCCAACTTGGCTCCTGATACCATAGAGTGCAATATCTAATGAGGAAGCCTAACTTATTTTCCCCAAGGAACACCATGAATGGTACAACTCCAAATCATATAACTATCAGATTAGGTGAGAACTTATGAGACAAGAGTCATGATCTGTGTATTTGATAGATGGAGGTAAAGAAGATGATGAAAGTTGAGTGATTGTTTCTCTTTGTTGGCTATGGCTAAAATTATTGAATCGTGATACAAACAAGAAATTAGAGAAGCTTAGATGATTAAGATAACTAGGGATTGGCTATCAAGCAAAAGGAGAAAATGATTCTAATAAGTCCTACAATTCTTTATTAGCAGGTGATGAAATGATATCATTCAACATGACAGGCAAAAATATTTGCATTTTTGCAATACGCAGATGCATCAGTCTTAATTCTTGAAAGAATGATGTCATTCTTGTTTTTTTTATATGAAAGGAAGCTTATTGCAAATTCTAGACAGGGCTTCAATCTTAAACTCAATAAGATTCTTTAGGCTGAATGATGCCTAAACTGGCTCTTGATACCATGTAATCATTCATAAACTAGTCTTAGTGAAAGAATAAAATTATTTTATGAATAATTAGAGTCAATGAATACAAGAGGTGTTGGGCCTATTTATACATATATGATAGACCCAATATACAATACACATCACCAAATATTAAACTTAATTAATGATATATTAAAACTACATCTAATATTTCTCATAAGTTATTGCCATCAATCCCATTGCCACCACCCACTATTGTCAACTATGGCCAACCATCACCATTAGTCAATTTTTTTTAATTTTATAGCTTTTTAAATTAATATAGCAAATATATATTTTTGTCTTATTTTAAAAAAATTAAAAAAATTATTTCCAAAATGGTTTTAAAAATGAAAAATGGAAACAAAATTAAACAAGTCCTTAGATGTCATTTTTTAATTTCAATTTGAGTTATATTTCATATAGAACTATTCCTAACTAAACTCACATTCTCAAATTAGATTTAAATATTGTCTTGATGGAAAAATTATATTTAAATATTGTTGAGCTTAGATGTGAATACCTTTATCAATCTCTAACAAAAAAAAACAACAACAACAACAAAATACCTCTATCAATCTATTTATCTACAAATTTCTAATTGGAACCCTACTCATATAGTTATAAAAAACAACATTGAAAATTTAAAAATGACAGCTTGTAAAATCCATGAAAACTTATACTCCCTATTAAATAGGGATAAATATAAAAAGATAATATTAGTTGAGAGACAACTAACTACTTTATTAGAAAGTATGATTTAATTAAAAATGCCTCACATTTTTTAATGGAGGGAGTAATTGACTAGAAGAGATTAACATATAAAATTAGTAAAATGACAAGTTGAATTAAGGATTTAACAAGTTCACTTTATGTTATAACAAACAAGTGGTTTGGAAATTAAGTTTATTATCAATGCATACATGTTATTTTATTAAAATTTAATTGTAAATTTACAATTGGGAACTTGTAAAATTCTTGAATTTTCAAACTTCCCAATGCAATTGATCATGATAAATTAACAAATAAAATTAGTAAATGACAACTGAAATTAAGGAATTAATGAGTCAACTTTATGCTTGTAACAAGAAAGTGGTTTGAAAGCTAAAGTTATTACATACTTTCTTTGTTAAAAAATGTAAGGTATTTTTAACTAAATCTCATCCCTAATAAAGTAGTTATTTTTTTTAAACTAATCCTATCTTTTTATGTGTATCCATATTTAGTAGGGTGTTTCATCTAAAATAAATTTATATGAAGTAATTTATTCCGTAGGGATACTTTTGAAAAATAAGTAATGATTACATCTTAAAAAACTAAAAATTATTTACATTTGTTAACATCCAATCCCTTAAAAAATGACTTATATTTTTTAACGAAGGGAGTATATTAGTTTTTGCCTAATATATGTTAATGGGCTTGGTGGCTATAAATTTTTTGTAAGTCAAGGGATTATACATTCAAATCCCCTTGGGTTGGAGATTTAATGGTTGCCTCCAATGATAGTGGTGGCAGGCAAAACAAAATTTATTAAAAAAATTAGGGAAATTTTAGTATTTTTACAACAAAATTCAATTACATTTCAGCCTCTTAATCTTATAAAACAAACCCATAATTATTTGATCATTTTTTTTAATTAATGAGTTTATGTGGTCTTTAGATGTGATTTTCCCATAAAAAAAGCAGACAAGTACAATGTACATTTTCAAGCGAAGCGAATCATTAGGGCCACTTATATGTCTTTAAACTTGATGGCATTGGCGTACATTTTATAAAGTGTATAAAATAAATTATGAGTTATAATTATTATGATTGAGCTAATAAAGGTGAATTTAGTTGATAAAAATGTAACTCGCATCCCAAAAGAATGTGAGTTTGAATCTTATTATATGATTTATAAATAAATTTGCAAATGTTTTTCCGGTCTTATGATATGTTTTAATCTGAATGAGTCCTGAGACGCAATTCATATTATTTTTTTTTAAAAAAATATGTTATCAATTTATCATAATTGGTGAGTAAGTGTGAACACAAGCCAATGAAGATGAAGAGGGTAAGTACACGCTTGTTGTGTAGTTGACTTATTGTCGTTTTCTAGTGTTTGTAAGTCGTGAGAGGCAACTCTACATCCCTTTGGCTCTATTATTAATGACGTCCCCTTTAAGACTTGAGGTTATTCATTCCCACTCCTATTATACTCTTTTGGGTCTTTAATATAAAATAAAATAACTAAATTTATACTTTTTTTGGTCTTTAATATAAAATAAAATAAATTTATATTTACTAAAAAATGATAGTTATATTCTTAATATTGTTAGAAATTATGTAACATTTTTAATTTTATTCTTCTTTTCTATTAATAATCATAATAAATTAGAAATTCAAATGATGATAAATAAATAAAGGTTAAAAATGAAAAATAATTAATCACTTTATATTTTTCTTATATTAAGGATAAAAAATGTTAAAGTTTGCCTTATATTTAAGGATGGATCCAGATCTAATTTTAAAAACTTTTTCAATAAAAAAACAAACATTTTTTAAAGAAATAAATTTTGTGTGCGTGTGTGTATTTTTTTTGGGGGCTAAAAGGAATTTTAAAAACTTTTTCAAAAAAAAACAAACATTTTTAAAGAAATAAATTGGAGAGTGGTCCTTGCTCCCATGTAGATCTGTCCCTGCTTATATTAATGATCAAGGGAGTATGTTTTTTTTTTTCAAAAATATGTATAATTTGGATCATGTTACTTCATACTTATTTTAAATTATATATATATATATATATATTCATATATTGATTGTTTAAGTATCCAATTCAAACTAAACGATTTAAATGTTATTATTTTATTGAGTTTTAGTTATTTATTTTAAAAGTATAATATGAAATTAAAAAGACAATTTGAACTATTAAATTTAAAATTGTTGTCAAAAAAATTTAAAAAAATATTCTATTAATCTCAACATATAATTGACATCTTGGAGTTTTTCATACACGTTGAGAAGTTATTAAATAGTGTAGCTTGCATGGTGGTAAAATCTAATGATCCTTATAGTAAAACAGTAAAAAAAAGTTAATGCATTATCAAAATAATATTTTATAAAATTTATACGAAAAATTTAAAAGTGATAATAATTTTAAAATGGATGGAGTAACAATTTATGAGTGTAAAATAGGAGCACATTATTCTAAATGAAAAAAAAAAGAAAATTACGAAATTTGACTTGTAAAGAAACTGAATAATAATTAATTTGTTATTTAAGAATTGATTTTAATTTTCTCGACCAAAAAAAAAAAAAGGCCCACAAGAATTTACATGACGTGTGAGCCCGTGGTTGTTAGCTTGCGGGGGAAGATGGTGCGTGCAAAGTGTAAACTCAGAAATGGACCCAACGAGCCATTAGAGAAAGAGAAGATGGGTGCTTCACGAAAAAGCTAACGTCCAACATAATGAAGAAACGATTCCACAACCCAATTTTCCACACATGATAAATGTGGTCCCACTTTTTTTTTTTTTTTCAGTAGTCACAAAAAACTGTTGCTAGCCTGGCCCACTTGGCTCTCATATGTTTTGCTTTTAAGAACTCAAATTAATATGTTGAGAAAAAATTAATATACTTAATATTCATTCAGTTTCATTTATTGAACACATTTTAAAAATAATTTTTGATCTAAAATATATAATACATTAATATTTTTTTAATTTTATCCTTTCTTAATTAGTATAAAGATATTTAATATAATTGTATAATGATTTAAAGTTAAAGGTGAAAATAAAAGTACATCTTATTTTTTTATGATATTAAGAAAAAACTAACTTTTTCTTAATTTGCATAAAACAGTTGAAAGTGTCATATAATAAGGATCAGAGGAAGTACTTAAGTAACATTTGAATTGGTAGATTTAAAATTTCATATTTCAAATTTTACATTTAAAATTTATGTATTTAATAAAAAATTTCATTTGGGTACTTTATTCCAAACAAAG